CCTGAACAGTTTCTAAAATGTAGTACAGACAAAAATATAAATAATTCAGGCATATATATATGAACCTAAAACATGTCCTTGTCACACAAGACTTTTTTTTGGACTGACACAAGTAAAAATATTTCAGTATGAAATAGAAAAACAGTTTTCTCTTTGACTAAAATTACTGAAAGTTTCAATGTCTAAAATATCCTGCCATATGTAAAGTATTTTAACTATAAAAGTATTTAAATATTTTTGTTTTAAAAAATTTTTAGTTAATAATGTACTTTCATATAATACTGTTTACCTTATCATGAAATCAGTAATTTTAATGTATTACCTACAACAGGTCCATTTTCTTTTCTAGATGCTCGAGGTTTTGAAATAGCTTTGTTCATAATCTGTAATATCTCCTTCTTTGCCACTAGAAGAGATAAAAACATAATAAAAAATATAACTATATAAAATAAATGTGATAGATATAGCAGTATTCTTAGTTTTCTGGAGTAAAATCCAAATTCTTTAGGTTAATAATCAAAGCTCTTCACATCCCATTTATTTTAACAATTCTATTTATATTCCCTTCTCTTTAAATCCTATCTTGAGGACTCGATTTGTAAAAATTGAATTTTCTCTGGTCTCCCACTTTGTTGATTAGTCATATACCCAATAACCTAATACTTCATGATACAGGTTATTACATTAAATTTCATTTTCTAAAGGCAGTATTTTATAATAAGCCTATAATAAGCCTAATGGGAATTATAGTCCCATTAACAAACAATGATGAAAGGAGATTTAGGCACGCTGGCTTGACTTACCTGAGGCTTGCTGAATGGCCTCCATTACAATTTTTACTGGTATTCCAGGTAATTTAATATCAGCCTAATATGGAAAAGCCAAAAAATGGTTATACTGATTCATGATTCACTATTACTCAAATATTAAACAAAATGAAACAAAATGGGTTTTAAAATACCTGTAATGCAGTTATTCCCTTACTAGTGCCGGCTATTTTGAAATCCATATCACCATGGTAATCTTCAATTCCCTTAAGGAATTTAAAAAATTATGATATAGTTTTATCCAAAAATGAAATTCACCAATAGTCATTGTAGAGGAATTTTTAAAAATAGCTTTAGAAGTAAACTCTGTCCTCTAGGAATATACACACAAAAAGACTTGTACATTAACTACCAATTCCAATTTGTGACTTTTTAAGTTAGATATTTCATCAGAAAATGACATTATTTTTAGATCATGTTTCTCCCCATAAATACATAAGGATTAATTTACAATCATCCTAAAGCCATTATGGATACTTACACTGAATTATATTTTAAATTCACATCCCATAAAATCCAAGGCAAATATGCAGAAGAGGAAAGTAAGAGCAAGGACTTCTATTTCTTAAGCGCTAGCATTCTTCTAAGCACAATCTGCTTGTAAAGTGTGTATAATCTTCACCATTAAATATTTGAAAATGTGAATATACTTGCCAGAATATCTGTCAGCAAACGATAATCTTCTATTTCACCCTTGTCAGCATTGTTTTTGGTAACCAATCCTATTGCCACACCTGCGACAGCAGATGAAATTGGAACCCCTATAATTGAGAAAAAGAATTTGTGTGTAATGTGTACATCAGCCTAACCACATACTATTTATCATTCTGTTGATTATTTTAAGGTAAGTGGATAGTGTTCTAAGTTGACAACCAAAACTAAGTTGGAGGAAAGAAATAAATCATCTGACTACCTCATTTCTTCTTAAAAATTTAATAAAAGCCCCTTAATACAATTCTAAAAGGCAACCCACTGTCTTCAGCAAAAACCTGTCTAATAATAGCAAACTTAACTCTAAAGCAATCCATTTTCTTTGCCTTTTGTTTTTGGTGCCTTCTTTTTCTTTTTTTGGAAAAGTAACCATGTATTTGGTAAATCTTTCCAGCTTGAGACCCTGAGTTAACCTCCCCATGACAGCCACCGTTAGGTTTTTTGTGTGTCCTTCTAGAAAATTATACCCAGGGAGTATAAATATAAATGTAACCTTTTATTTTCTTTATCTTATTCTTTTGAATGGTTGCAGAGTACTTACTGTAGGTGTTTATTAGCTATACAATAGAAATAGGATTTCTGAGTCAAAGGATGTGTGGATTTACATTTGTTAGTGTCAAACTGCCTTGCAGAGTGTAGCATTTTATACCTTTACCAGCAGTATATCAGGGTACCTACTATTCTACATTCTTGTTAATTTTTGTCAAATCTTTTGACCTTTGTTCATCTGAAGGATAAAAATGGCAGTTTATTGTTTTTAATTTGATTTCTGCTTTATGAGTGAGGTTGAACATTTTTTTCATGTTTTCAAACCATTTATATTTCTTTTTCTGTGAGCTGTCTATAATACTCAATCATTTTACTACATGGTCATCAGTCTTTTTTCTTATTTATTTGTAAGAGGTCTTTCAATATGGACAGTAGATCTTTGTTAAATATAAACAGACTATTATAGTAAATGATTATAAATACGAAATATAAAATATTTTCTAGTCTGTTGACTTTGTTTATTGTGATTTTTTTCTGTATAGAATTTTATATGCAATCATGGTTCCTAGTTTTTTTTAGAAAGGATCTTCCTGTCCAAGAATTTGATAAGATTTTCCTTATTTAATTTTTTTTTAAAGTTTAAGTTTTGATCACTTGGAACTTACTTGGTATGGAGTGTGGTAGGGACCTCATTTCATATTCTCTCAGCAATCTCACTTATGCCCGTGGTTTTAACTATCACATATAATGTTGATGACTTTCAAAATCTATCCCTCCTGCCTAGTTTTCTTTGCTAAATGCGATCTGTATAGCCAATCTGCCTATTGGACATCTCCAGGTAAATGTCCCTAAAGCACTGTATATGTATGTGTGTGTGTGTATTCAAAATTTAATCACCCTAGTAAATCCTGTTTCTCCTGCATTCCCTGGCTTGGCTGAAAGTGACTAAGACACTCACGCCAAAATCAGCACTTCTTTCCTCACTTCCTATATTCCCAAGTCCCAAAGATTTGACAGTTGTCTTCTATAATTTTTTTTAGAAAATCATCCTTCCCTCTAAATACTGAAACATCTATTGCCACTCTTTTAGTCCAAGTCTACATTATTTCTTAACCTGGCAACATTCTCCATGTCTGGTTTTTCAGACTTTAGTCCTCCACCCTAAGCTCCTAGGGCTTCATCCTCCTGGGCTATCATGTAAGCTAGGAAAAACTACCCGCAAAATTAAAAAAAAAAAAAAGCAGATTCACATCATACCACTCTTCTCCATAAATCCTTCAAGTTCTCCATTACCTGCTTTCAGGAATTTTTTATGTATGTTCTGTAGTCAAAAATAGTTTGGGAAATAGTACATACCCTGTTCTTAGAGATTCAATATTTGTATTAGCATATTTATGTTTACTTAACCCTTATTAAATAAACTTGCTTAAATACTTTAGAACAGAAATAACTTTTTTTCATGGTATACAATAATCAATATCCTTTGGAACTCTACTTCATAGAATACTGAGTTGGGAAATACTAGCTTTAAGTTCAAACTCATTAGTATAATAATGACTTTTAAAATCTGGCCCCAGTTCATTACATCATCGCTTCTTTCAAATATATTCTAGAAACACACTATACTGTTTCATAACTTTGCATATGTTGTTCCTTTCACATGAAATACAGGCCTTGCTGCTAATATACCTGGTCAACAACCACTCAACCTTTAAAACTGGATGAAATATAGCTGTCTCTATGAAGCCAATTGTATTCAACCTAGTTCTTCTTCTATGTTGTACATATTTGTGCCTTGTACATATTTGTATTATATTTTTGACATATTAGTATCTTTGTTTGTTTTTGTCCCTGTAAGCTTTTTAAAAACTGGGTACCAGTTGTATCCCTGGGACACAGGATGGTGTCTGACACAGGGCATGGCAAACACTCGCGTGTTTAAATTGAATACAATTTGTTGGCTCTTCCCATAGGATCTGACATTTACTCTTGTCAAATTTTTTTCTATTTGGTTCCATTTTTTTTAATCCTGTTAACATTTTTTGAGATCAAAACTGTCACTTAGCATACCAGTCACACACTCCTTTTTATCAGTATCCTTTTTATTGGTCAGCCAATGTTCTTAGTCAATTCAATAACAAAAAACACTGAAAGGGACAGGGTTTAGGATAGAGCATCTTCAAGTATTCCACTTGAGATCCCTCCCTAACCTACGGATCAGATTAGTCTTGGTTCCTCACCCTTCAACCAGTTGTGAATGGTGCACTTATCATCCAGTCTCAATTTCTACATCATTTACACAAGGTGATAAACTGCCAAGCCTATGATACACTGTACTTGGAGCACCCTCCCTCCCTACTTCAAACCTAGTAATATTTTCAAAAACAAAGTGAGTTTATGATGGCATGACTTATTTTAAATGAGTCCCTTCTGGCTCCTTCTCTTCACACCTCTCTTCCTTTCTAAAATACTTATATACTATTCTTTTACTATTTAAGAATCTTGCCAAGAATCACTGTCAAGTTCACTGGGTTATATACTTCACAGAGAATACATTTCTTATCTTTCAAAAGTAAGAACTTTTTGTGTTTTGGTATACTAATCTCCGTGATTTGTCCAATACTGCCAACATGGTTCAGTTATCTCATTCTAAGTTCTCATCATTATTTAGGATGGGTTTTTGTCTCAGTCTAAAGATATGAATTCATTTCAAGCAGTTAAAGACTTTTATTTTATCTTTCAGTTTACCTCTTTCAGGATTTGTTCTGTGTTTTCCAATATGAGATTAGAAGAGGTATGAATCCAAGCTCCATGAGAACAGGGACTTCATTTTGCTCAACACGGTATCCTAAGAGCTTAGATCAGTGCTTGGCACAGAGGTGGCATACAGTAAAGATTTGCTGAATGAATGCATGTAGGTGAAAATAGAAATGGTATTTTACCAGCTACCTTAAATATCAGATTATGTTTTCCTTCTACTGAACATAACTAGAAAAGTGCTTTTAACTGCCTTTAGCTTTTTTTGCTTTGGCTTAAGTTTTAATCATTCTAGATAATTTAAATTTAATACATTTAAATCATTCTTTTATTTCACCCTTGGTTATCTTCTATCTTTGTTTTTCTGTACTGTAAATATGTGAACTTGTGGGGAACTCCTTGTGTGGCCTCTTGAGTGTCTTTAGGTTCCTTTTCTCTTTCTTCTTGAATAGCATCATTGGTGACTGGCAGATACTGTTTTCAGAGTCTCTTAACATGCTGCCTCTTTCCCTTTTAGTGTTTCAGACCCACAGTTTTGCAGTTTTCCTTCCTAAAGTTCTATGTACCCTTCTGTGAGTGGCATTGTCCTTCCCATTGCTTGTATAAACTGACAGGAAGATTATACAGTTACCTTCCTTTATGAATCCTAATACTTCTGCTTGTTATCCAAACTTCTTTAGTGAATGGAATCAATTGCAGAATTCTCTACCTTCTAGAAAGGCAAAAGCTCATTGAGTCACCAAGTAAATAATTTCAATGTATTGCTTTTAGCCAAGAATAAGAATTCCTGCAGATAGCGGTATAGTAGAAGCTGTCTGTGCTTTGTAACTAGCTTGCTTCTGGCCTGATTCGGTAATCTGTAATCTGACTTCTCCAAGTCTTATTAAAATCCAATTTTAAAGAAAATTTTTATTTTATAATAATCAAGTATATATAAATAAGCTTTGGTAGTTTTGAGACATAATTCTTTTACCTGCATCCATTAATGCTAAACTTCCGCCACATGCAGATGCCATAGAAGATGATCCTAAGAAAGAAAAATACTTGCTTTAATACTGATTTTTTAAATGTAGAAAATTGTTACTATTGGTTATTTTCTTACAAATACTCATTTCTAATGTAAATAGTCAATATTCTTTCCTTCTTTCTTTTTAAAAGTATTTAAGGTAAGTTTTCCTAAACCACAAACTACAGAGGTGCACAGTCCAACATGATAGCCATTAGCAACATGTGGCCATGAAATTTAAATTATCTGAAGAAATTCAGTCCCTCAATTGGACATTACAGAGAACTTACATCATCACAGAAAAAGTTCTACTGGACAGCAGAGCTAGAGATTCTAAGAAACCTCCCAGAAGAACCAGCATGCTTCTTTTGATGCTTAATCAGAAGGCAGTTAAAGATATAGGGAGCTAGCTCTCTCACTGGGACATAAGCCATAGCCTAGTCACATCCAGTAGAGGACAGAAAGTCTTTAGTTTAAAGTCTGAACTTTGGTGTGTTTTGTTTTTTGTTGTTTAATTTCTATGACCATCTGATCCATGTCTGCTATGTTTGAGAACCATGTGACCTTTCTCCCTTGTACCATTCTTGCCTTGACCTGCAGACTGATTTTTAATTTAAATTTGACTTTTTTTTAGTCTAGCATCTCTTTGTGATATCTACTTCTATCTGAAATACATGATAATACATGATAGGTGTCCCCTGATTAATGGATCACTGTATTTTTTTTCCTCTTCCTCTCCCCAAGCTGGCTTTGCTGTATGGTTTGTTTGTAAAAATAAAGAAACAGATATCCTAAACTGGACCTATTGTAAAAGATACATAAAGAGAAATATTCATTTTATTTTGCTTTCAAAATACCTCATTAGCTAAGAGACTCAGACAAATACATGATTAAAAACATTTTTCTCTTTCAGTGGGTTTGGGCACTGCAGTAATAAATATAATGTAACATTATTTATGAAAAGCTAAGACTATAACAGGGAGCTGAAAAGTATAATAGGGAGTCTGTTCTTTCTGACTAGGAAAAATGTATTTCAAAACCATACCATTTGACTCTAGTACTTCAGATGTGACTCTTATGGTGAAGGGAAAATCTTTAGGAATAACGGGATACAAAGCTTTCTCAGCAAGAGCACCTAAATCAGAATAGAAAATATATAAGCAAAAGAATGTGCAAACTCTCTGTAAGAATACACATAAGTTTACAGATTTGTACTTACCATGACCAAGTTCTCTTCTGTTTACACCAGTGACTTTGCCAATTTCATTAGTTGCATAAGGAGGAAACTTAAAAAAAACAAAAACAACCACATATGTAAAAAACCGACATGGAAAGACATCCCATATGTAGTACCAAATAATAAAATAAGTTATAGAACAATACAGTCTCATTTTTATTAAAAAAAAAGTACACTCATATATACACAGAAAATGTCTGGACATCTAAAACATATACCAGATTGCTAAAAAATGCTGTTTCTAGTGTGTATGTGACCTGGGTTGTAAAATGGATGGTTATGGGGAATTACACCATAAATTTCTGTGATGTTTAAATATTATATTTTTATAATAAAAAAAATACACATTTATAAAGAAATGGTGGGGGAGGATATAGCTCGAGTGGTAGAGTGCATGTGCATAAGGTCCTGGGTTCAATCCCCAGTATCTCCTCCAAAAATAAACAAATAAATGAACCTAATTACCCCCCCACCAAAAAAAGGAATGCACGTTGAGGAAACAGATCTTTTCCAATAAGGATTTTACTTTATCCAGAGGTTGCAAGCTGTTTTATTTGACCAATATGTTGTCTTAAAAGAGTGTCAATTAGTTGCAGTAAATAAAAAAATTGGGAAATTTCTGATAAAAATCTGGAATTCCAGTATCTTTAACAAAATATTTTTAAAAAGGAAGATAGAACATGAATCTGATCAAGCCCCTTGTTTTAGCTGTCATTTAACAGGAGACAGAAAGACACAGGGACGTGCTGACTGCATCATGAATGTGCAAACAGCAGTACCCAGACTGTGGGGAACGCTACAGGTCAGGTTCTAGGGCTTCAACGCTACAGGTCAGGTTCTAGGGCTTCAACCGATAAACCGTAAAGAAAAGAATGTAATGGAGGGGAAATGGACAAGACTACACTATAGTATATAGGGATGTGCAACAGAAATGCAAGGAAGTGACTACTATAAAACTTAACTAGAGTAGTCACTTTAAGGGGAAGCAGGGTATTGAGACTGGGAAAGAAAGCATGGAGGGGCTTCTGGGGTAACTGGCAACATTCTATTCTCTGAGTTGGGTGGTAGTTAGAAGGGTGAATGCCTTATAAAATTCACTAAGTCACCTTTGTTTTATATGGTTTTCAGTATCTGTATTTTACTTTATGATTAAAAGATTTTTTAAAATGGGATAATACAGCAATAACAGCCCATTTCCTTCTTCTGCCCCTCCCTCATATCTTTTCCCAGTAAAAAGGGCACGTGCTGCATTTTTCGCATGTGCCTTTTTTAAATACTGCCATGTGCTCTTCAGCTCTTGACAAAGGATCTGTGCCTTATCAATTACAGTTCCTTTCTGGCTTCTGTAGCATCTTGATATATTTATTTATATTTATAGTATTATAATTTATATATATAGTATTATATATATTATATAGTAAAATATTATATATTTTTATTTATATAATATATTATTTATAGAACAGGATATTTATAACAGACTCAAAACCTGTCAAAATCTCCAGATTTATGGATGTTCTCTAACATATTTTCTACATTAAATGTTCTCTATTAATTACAGCAGAATCAACAAAATTGAGATGTGGGAGTTTTGGGCAGCCAACAATGGTCACTTAGAAAACTTGCTACTTTACAATAGCCTCCCAGTGTGTATGCTTCAAATACTAAAATTAAAGTTCTATATGGTGGTGGTGTGTCTGGTCCCTTAGGGTCAGTTGTGAATAAACACAATCACAAGCTCAATTATATATAATATTTCATATAAAGTAATTTAATATTAAATACTTCAGTTCTTTTACTATTAATCAAGTGAGTAAAAATATGAACATTTAAAGGAACTAAAAGGGAGATGGTGATTGTTAGTTAAGGTATTTGAAAGGCCCCAATTTGTCTGACACACATGTGAATGGGTAAAATTCTTTCCTGACTAAAACAATATTCTCTACTATACTTTAACTTTTATATATGACTCAGAATAGGAAGTTGTATCTCTCTAAATCCCTTCTATACGAATTTAAAATAACAGTGCCCGAATCCACATTAACAGATATTGATAAGACTAGCATAGTAAAATGTTAATGGTAGAACCTAGGTAGTGGATATCCAGGTATCCACTGTAAGATTCTTTCAACTTTGCTATATGCTGGACATTTTTCATAATAAACTACTGGGGAAAAATTCACCTTACCTCATAATGCAGCATGAAATTTTTATCTTTTATCCCACTACAAACAAAAAGCATAATATTAAAAAGGCATCATCCAGATACAGATATATTCAGTAAACAACTAAAGAAGTTGTAATGGAATTTTAAAAACAACTGGGTATTAAAGAGAGTTGGTCTGAAACTGAATGCTAGAAGAATTAAAAGGATGAATGTCAGAGACAGTATTTTTTTCTGGGGTTTATGAATGAATTCTACACAGATTTAAGAAAATAATTTTGCTTCACATACAAGCATTTAAATATCCAGATTTGAATACTAAGACAGTAAACATTTTTAAGCATTAATAACTGGTGAGAGAATCCTAAACATTATAAACACATTAGTTAAATCTCAGAGTTATGATCTTTCTCCTAGTCAGGCATGTGAAATGAAGATCAGTAACTGAAATGATATAGCTGAGAGCATTGAGGAGATCTGACAGGGAAAGATTTTCTCAGGGTTTGAAACCAGATTTATCTTTAACAAGGAAAAGATAAGCACATACAGATTCTTCCCACAAATAGTGTCCCCTTTGGGTGGGATTACAAAAGACACCTCTGTGTACAGGATTTAGAAATTCCTGGGCTAGGGATGAATCTGCACAACCATAAGTTACAGCCTTGGGAAAAGAATTCTGACAACCAGACACCAGAAGACAAAAGGAATCACAGATGTGGGGGGCTAGAGAGCCAGCTAGGTAGTGATCACTGGTCTAGTACTTGGCACTTTAAAAGATGAAGAAACAAAGGCCATCATGATTGAGTGATGTGTACCCCTTCATTTACAGAGGTTATAGACCTAGGACTAGAACAGAGAGGTAACCTTGCCAAGTTCAGGAACTTTCTTAAGAAGCTGTGTTGCCTCCTAGAAGAAAGGAGTCAAAATGAGGAAGAGTAGGGCAACCAAGTTTTGGCCTAGATGGGAATTTAAAATGCAAAGTGTAAGAGAAGAGCCCCTCCGCCACAGAATTATGATTATGATGAATATTAAACTCTTATTTATATAGCTGTATTGTTATTTTTTATTAGGTACATGAAAAGCAATTAGTGATGCTATCCTGAAGATACTGAGGATTATTCTCATCAGTTGGGAAATAGAAGGAGGGAGAAGAGGGAGGCAGTCTTCTGAGACCCTTAATAAAGGAAAGGGAAGAAGCCCTGTAAGGCACTGAGGAAGATCTATGGCTGTGAGTCCCAGTAATGCAGTAATGCTGGTGGGGACTGAAGTGTAGATTCTCATCATCTAAAATTATCAACCTGATTTTGCTGCTGACTCTTTAGGAATGGAGGAGGATAGCCAAGTATTTTTTAACACAAATTGAAATATGCCTTGAGATTAGATAAAGTTTTTTTCATTTAGCAACCTCCAGATTCTTTTTAGGCACTGGGACTCTTGCTTATTTATTTGTTCTATTTTTTATAATAATAGAAGAACCTATCCATTCAAGATTACCAAGGAAATCTGTCCAGGAGAATGGTTCTAGAGACAGAGAAGAAACTAAATGTAATCACTAAAAAAGAATTAAAAGCTTTACCAAAATCTGTTCTAACAAATGAGTTAGGAGACAATACAGCACACTAAAAAAAAACAACCCCTTGAGATCACTGTTACATAAATAGAAAAATGAAGTACAGAGATACAGGTTTTAAAAAGTAATAGTGACTAATAATATACCATGTGACTTATATACTGTAATATCATAACCAAAAAACATAACTTACTTTATAGCTGTTATAATTCGGTCTGACTTAATGCTGGATTCTAATGAATCAAATGTAACAGTACAAAGCACCTAAAAAAGAAAAAAAAATTCCTCAGACTTTAATTTACTAACAACAGAGGTGAAAACTAAAAACATTTGAAAAACCCACTTAGCTCTTAAGGAAATGAGATAAGTATATTCTATCCAAAGCTTGCAAAGGTACTTAATTAACACAGTAAACATTTATTCATTCTATAAATATTAGAAATTATATATTTATACATTATAAATATTATGTGTAAATCTCAATAATCCAAAGGTCCAATATCACACAGACTACATATATAAAGCACTGTACTAGGAGTGATGGGGGAGGACAGGAAGAGGAATATTTCCAAAACCTGACCATAAACGAATTCTCAATAAAGGTTCAGCCAATAATACTGCCTGCTTTAAAAAAAAGAAAAAGTCAATCTAAGAAGACTGGAGGGACATAATTCAGAGACTACAATGTAACACTCACAACATCCCAGATACAACCTACCAAAAAAGAGAAAAAAAAGGAAATAGGGCCTATTCTCAAGAGAAAAGACAATGAATAGAGACTGACCCTGAGCTGATTCAGATGTTGGATTAAGAGTGAAGGATTTTTCAAGAGCTATTATAATTATACTGAATGACATAAAAAAGAACCAATAGACATAATAGAACTGAAAAATACATCATAATGGAAAGAGATGGCAAAAGTCAGTGAACATGAAGATGGATTAGTACAAATTGCCCAATCTAAAGAACAGAGGGCAAGGGGAACAATATTGAAAAGACTAACATAAGCACTTGCAATCCCAGAATGAGAGAAAAGAGGATGAGATAGAAAAAACATTTGAAGAAATCACAGCTGCAAGTTTTCAAGTTTGATGAAGGATAAAAATTTACAGGTTTAAGCTCAAGAAATCCTTAGTAGGATGAATAATAAGAAAACCATGCTTTTCATAGTCATACTGCTGAAAACCAAAGACAATCTTGAAAGGACCCAGAAGAAAGTAAGTAACATACATGGAACAATGATTTGAATGAGCCCTGACTTTTCAGAAAAAAAGGAAAACGAAAAACAGTAGAACATTTCTTAAAGTGGCAAAGGGAAAAAAAAGCATCAACTCAGAATCTATATCCTGGTAAAAAGATTCTTGTTAAAAAAAATAAAGGCAAAATAAAAGCATTTTCAGAAAAATGAAAAATAAGAATTTGTTGTCAGAAGACCCACAGGACAATACTAAAGAAGTCTTATCAGAGTGAAGGGCAATAATATTAATTGGAAACTTGGATCTTTAGGAGGAAATAAAAAGCATCAGAAATAGTAAATATCTGGGTTAATATAAAAGACTATCTTTTTCCTCTAAAGTTGTAATGTTGCCTTGTGAGTTTTTAAAACATGTAGGTGTAACTCATAAGACAACTACAGCATAAAGGAGGGGCAAATGGATCTAAATGGTTGCAAATATCACTAATTTTGTGTGAAGTGGAAAAAATTAACAATAAAAACACTGAAAAGTTATGGATGTATTCTCTGTAGTAGCCAGTCAAAAATAACACAGAGGTATAGCAAAAAAGCAAATAGACAATTTTAAATAGCCAAGACATGGAAGCAACCTAAATGTACACTGACAGATGAATGGATAAAGAGGTGTGTATGTATATGTATATATACGTACACACACACACACACAATGGAATACTACCCAGACATAAAGAAAGAATGAAATAATGCCATTTGCAGCAACATAGATAGACCTAGAGATTATCACACTAAATGAAATCAGAGAAAGACAATTATCACATGATAATACTCATATGTGGAATCTAAAAAAGTGAGACAAATGAACTTATTTACTAAACAGAAACAGACTCACACACAGAAAACAAACTTATGGTTACCAAAGGAGAAGAGGAGGAGGGATAAATCAGGAGCTTAGAATTAGCAGATACAAACTACTATATATATATAATAGATAAATAACAAGGTCTTACTGTATAGCACAAGGAACTATATCCAATATCCTTTAATGATTTATAGTGAAAAAGAGTATGTGTGTATACATATACACACACATATACACATAACTGAATCATTATGCTGTACACCAGAGACTAACACAACATTGAAGTAAATCAATCAAACTTCAATTTAAAAAAAGCAAATGGACAAATTAAAATGGAGATCTAAAAAGAATACTCAATTAATCCAAAAAGAAGGTAGAAACTAAGAACACAAAAAAAGAGGAGCTAAACAAAAACAAATAATACAATTACATACTAAATTCAATCAATCATTAAACATTAAAGGACTAAATAAATGCTACAGTTGAAATGTAGAGATTGTCAGGATGGCTAACAAAAATATGCAAATAAAAATAACTTAATCATTTTTAAAACTTATTAAAAGGCATAAAAGAAAGCCTGAATCAAAGGTGACAGACCATATTTATTGTAAAGACTGTGATTTAAGTTGTAAAAATATCATTTCTCACTCATTCCATAAACTCAGTCCAATACAAATCTAAATCCTAGAAAGATTTTTTTTTTAGGACTTGATATAATACTAAAACTTAAAGGAACAAATGTACCAGAATAGCTAAGACAATTTTGTGGGGAGTGGAGGAAGAATAAAAAGGGAAGATTTCCCTTTTAGATATTAAAACTATAATAATTAAAAACAGTTTGACACCAGCCCAGGTAACTCAAAGAACAATGGAAGAGAATATAGTTCAAAAATGTTTTTATAAACTTTGAATATGATAAGGTAACATTACAAATCAATGAGAAACAAAATAAATTTTTAGTAAACAGCATTGCAAAACTGGCTTACTCTGGAGCTTTCCACCTTACACCATGTATAGGGATAAACTCCAGGATAGATTAATGGTCTAACTTTAATAGCTAAAACTAGAAGGTTAATAAGAAAAGCAGGTGCATAATTTTGTGACTTTGGGGTAAGGTAGGAGTTCTTAAATAAGACTTCAGAACTAAAGATTTCAGGTTCACTGTAGACATATATAGGCATACCTCATTTTATTGCACTTCACTATTGTGTTTAACTTTAGCTATTCTCAGGTATTGTGTTTTTTACAAATTGAAGGTTTGTGGCAACCCTGCATCAAACATGTCTATCAGTGTCACACTATGGTAATTCTCAAAATTTTCAAAACCTCCACTAGCAAAAAGGTTATGACTTGCT